TACCAAAATCAAAAGTCTCATTGATTCACCAAAAAAAGAAATATTTGTACAAATCTGTCATTCTTTACATATTTCATCACTCAAATGTACAAGGGTGGAAGACACATGCTTCGTTCAAATAAGGCATATTTTTCGCTCAAATTAAAGTAAAGGTGTCTTACCTTAGCCATCGTGTCAAGGATCCACTGCATCATTTTTCTAAATTATCATGGTGAATTGATTACAATGAGAATTAATTTCCCATATGTCTAGCATAAGGTTGCCCTGTAGCGTGATGGTAGGACTGAAACATCGTCGTTCGCCTTGCCACTGTCACAATTGGATGGAGATAACTTTTGGCATGGTCTATCATCCCAAAGTGATACTTTCTTTTGTGAAGTCGGCCATGTTGTTATGGTACCAATCTGAATCCTAAGGAAAGGTTTATTGTCCACTTTCAAACTAGCGAGTTTGAGACGCCCATGCTTCAAGAATTTTTGTATGGTCGTTCTGAAGTGAAGACAATTTACAGTGGCATATCAAAATAAATGGTACCATTTGCAATATATTCTCCTTTTGGCTTCCTTAGGTGAAGCTAGTTTCTGACCGTTAGGGATATGAATTTGACGGTCATTTTTCATCTCTTTGAAAATTACATCATTTTGTGTAGCATCGAACAAACAATTTTTATTCAGTACTTTGAGCACGTATTTACCTTTTGGAGGCTTAAGATTGGAGCAAATTTAACGCTTGCCCGGTGCCGGTTCTGTTGTGGCTTCTTCAATAATATCTGAGTGTTCATGTCTGTTTAACGTATTCTCCATATCAATTCCAACAATTTGGTGTTTGGCTTGTTCGCTTGTGTTTTTTTTTCTCATGAAAAAGACGTTCCAAACGTGCAACCTTGGCTGTTAATTGTTCAAGGTCTTAAACTCTGTGAGCTGAAGCTAGTCTCGGAAATGCGGCTGCATATTCCTAATTGCGATACTAGCAAGTTTGGATTCGTTGATGATCATTGGACACCGTTTTAGTTTGTCTAATTTATTTGATGAAGGTGGTGGCTAATTTCTCAAATTCTTGTTTTGTTTCCATTAAATATGTTAAAGTAGTTTCCGGTACAGGACTGTAGAACCTGTCGTGAAACACTTTTTTCATTTGAGCCCAATTTTGTATAGATTTAGTGTGGAGGGACAAGTAGCATATAAAGACGGTTCCAGTAAGAGTTAACATGAATAGTTACAGTTTATAAAATTCATTAATGGATAATTCCCAATCATAATTGTAAATTTGGCTATGTGTTCAACAAATGATTGGCCATCTTCTCCTAAGAACATGAGAGACTCAGGGATCCTAATATGTTGAGGCAATGGGTAATTGCATTATACCCATTCTTGAAAAGCTTTCTAGTATACCAGACCATAACGCCTTTGTCTTTGGGCACCGAGGTGTTGGGACATAGAATCTTGTACAATTTAGACTATGTCCGGATATTCTTGTTGTTGTACCGCGGGTTGTAGACTCCATTGTCGCGATTCCAGAGCGATATGAGGTTTTTGAGTTGCTGATGCTTGTGGTTGTTGCACGTAGGGCGCAACTCAGGGAATATTGTCATATGATGAAATGACTCCAGGGATATTGCCGTATGGCAGAGTATTCCATTGTTGAGAGGGGGCTGTGGATATTCTTCACCATTGTATACGGAAGCCAAGGCAAAGGCCTTAGTTCACGGTATGACATAAGTTTGGGTGGTACCGGCATTTGTAAATAATTATACAGATGTCTGCGGCCATTGTTGGTCATGATTTATGAAATCGACTGAAGTAAACAGTTGTAGATTATACGTTCGGACACCACCTTTGACTTGGGAAGTTGACGGGATCGTGTTTACACTCGCTATCCATTGTGTTGAAGCCAAAAAGCTGTAAATGAGTTATTGGCATATCCCTTTGGATAGTACAACCATACTGCCGTGGTAGCCAAGTTTGATGCCTCTTGGAAATCTGATGGTGCCGATCTCTCTATCCGAGTCGGAGTGAATCATTCCGAGATAGATATTGTTGGTGGCAGAAGGCCTGAAGATATCATATATATGATATTAGTTTCTTCCACCGATGTTACTATCTCAAAATGAGCTATCGAACGATGTACAAGTCTTCTTGATCGTAATCTTATGAATTCATAATGATTTTCCGTTAGGAACAAATTACTGTCTCACTAGGCATGCCAAAATATTGTTGTGAGTTGAAAATTTGTAATCGAATAATAATCAAGGACTTCTTCTTGGAGGATATAGAGTAATTAAATCCGTAATTCGTACTAAGACCCAGTGCTCATATGTTTGATAGTAAATAAATTGCAGAGGAAGAAAGAAATGTGAAAATTTAAATGAATTAAAAGAATTAAAAAGAAATGATAGCTTTAGTTAAGATATTAGAATCTGAGTTTTTACAATAATTACAATTCATATTTATAAAATATAATTGTGTCTGCGAATTGACGTATTGTTTCAATAAAACTAATAAAACAAAAAGATGTAACCCTTCAATATAAAAATAATTACAATTAAGTTGTTTTTTCAGTTTTTTAAATTATGTCTAAATTTGGAAACAATCCAATTTCCAAAATTAGATCAAATTTATATAATAAATATAATAATATTTAATCAGGACCAACCTTCTGAAAATAAGTTGAGGCTCCTGAAAACACATCTACGCCATCTGCAAAATATCTAATACACAACAAGACTTCATCTGAAAACACGCTCAGGTCTTCTGAAAACACGCCCAACCTTTTGAAAGCACGCCCAAGCCATCTGAAATCACGTTGAACCCATCTACAATGCATTTGACATGTCTGCACCTTATCTACTGGCCCTATATTCTATTCGGGCGACTTCTGCATTAATCCAGATGATTTCTGCATCAGTCCGAACAACTTCTGCATTAGTCTAGATGATTTCTATATCAATTCGGATGACTTCAACATTAGACCGAGTGATTTCTATATCAGTCTGGGCAACTTTCGCATCAGTCTGAGTGTCTCTGTATTAGCTCAGACACCTCCTACATATGTCTAGGCGCCTTTTGCATTAGTCTGGACGCCTCTTGCATCAGTCCAGGTGCCATGTCTATCAATTCGAGCGCCTCATACATTTGTCTGGGTGACTTGTGCATCAGTCCGAACGTCTTCTGCATATGTCCAAGCACCTTCATATTAGTCCAAGTGTTATATGTATTCTGTCTCGCCACCCTGCACATTGTTGGGGTGCCCAACAAACTGTCTAGGCGCCCTTACACACTATCCGGGCCCTCTGACACTGTCCGGGCCCCCTACATTCTGTCTGGGCACCTCTATACAATATCCGAGCGTCCTGCACACTGTCTGGGCGCCCCTCCATGCACCCTTGCACATTGTTCGGGTGCTCTGCCAGTTCCAATGCATAATTATTGTATGTTCTAAATCCTAACACAACTGAACACGCCAAACACATCTCTACGCCCAGAATGTTTTAAATTATAATATGGCAGTGATATTTGTTTTGAATTTTTTTTTTCTAGAAATGCCATTTTCATGTATTCTCACGCCGGGGTGGCCTTCAGTTCTCCATGCCTGTGAGTCGACCACACTTAGCATGCCGTAGCACCTTAACTTTTTAATGCATTCGAATGTGACAAATGCTTGTCACACGCTGCAAAATTTAAATAAAATAAATCTACTTCTACAATAAAAATAACGTAGTATAGATGAAGTAGAGTCGTCTTCTAAGGAATTAAAAAGGTTTTATTTTCAATTGTTTAATATATAAATATAATAAAAGTGGAGATTTTGGAAGTAGGAAATAAAAATAAAATAACAAACTAAAAACTCTACGACTAAAAGATAAATTCAATAAAAATATGTTTCCATTTTAGGAATAAAATTGACAACTTGGGTAGTGGATTTGATCATCGATAGATATTTAATTCTATTGTTTTCCAATAAAACTGACATGCCTAATAACCAACTTTTCCTTAATTTTTAGAGGTACGTCGTCAACTGCTTCCCTAATTAGACTAGAACTTTACTGATGACAAAAAGAATTTACTATCTTAACCGCCTTGTGAACTAGAAGAGCTTAATTCAATTTAACTATTACTTATGTGAAATTGTTTAAAATTGATTCCATGATTTTTTAATGGTGTCTGCCACTAGTTGCTACTTGAACCAAATTAAAAAAGCAATTACGGAGAGCTAATTTAGTTTAGCGATTAATCTTTAATCTAATTGAAGACCTGGCCACAATACCCAATCAAATAAAAAATTATTATACATTAAAATCAGAAATCACAAAAATACTTAGAAACATAAATATCATAAAATCAAAACAAATCGCTAATCATAGGAGAAAGAAAAAAGAAAGCAAAGATAAACATCGCCCGAGAATGATGTTGGTAGGGATAGAACTCGAAATCTTCTTGGAAGAATCTTTCTCCTTCTTGCCCTTGTGCGATTTTTCCTTGGAACTGTTCTGTAAGGTGTTCTCCTCTTTGGCATGTAAAGTGGCAAGTAGCGCCTCCCCTTCTTTTTTTTCTGCATTATTTGCCCATTTTTCAAATCATTGGGTCTTTTGTTCTCATTTCCCTCAAATTCTACCAATTTTATTATTTTTCTCATGTAAATCATAAATAAATAATATATACAAAAATCAAGTAGAATCTAATCAAAATCAACCTAATATCACAAATAATATTAATATTTAACGCATGAGAATAAAAAAGGACAATATCAATTCAATAAAAAAATTTTGACATTCAGCCTCTAAAGTTCAGAGGCTAATTCCGCACTAGACGCATCTCTACTATTCGAAATTACACAAATCTAAAAGTATAGAATCTAACACATAAGAGAGGTTTAGAGAATTTTTTTACATATCCTTAATTTAGGTTTTACAAAATATAATCCAATATATTAAATTCTACTTACAATTGCAATTAGATTTCTTCTCAGCTTGATTTTATTTAAATACAATGAGCACAAATTAATTAATTATTACACTAAAAACATGCATGTATTTAATTCATGTCTCAAAATTTTAAAATCAATTAATACAATTTTTTTACCCCACACACACTCACCCTTAATGGAATTGATCATATATAGTCAGTCCCTCAAGTGGACATGTTTCACCACTTAATCGATCTACTAGAACTTGACTAATACAAACTTGCAATTTGAGGAGTGCAAAAGATCATAACTTCTTCTAAAGAGGACTTGTTAATACAAACGTGCAATTTGAGGACTGCAAAAGACCATAACTTCTTCTAAAGTGGATCTATTCTCATCCCCAAACATCGACTCCTTACCATCCGGCCTCTTGGCATACGATAACCCTAGCCGAGACTTAGCCTGCCTCAGATCACCCACTCCCGAGCTCGCATCAGGCCCCGTGAAAACGCCCATGACAGGTGACAATGGTGGGCCTATGAGCAAGCCGTCCGGGCCAAACTGCGGCCCGCCTCGCGCATAGTCAAACAGGGCTGCACCACTCCCACCTACTTTAGGCAAGATCACAGGTAGCTCATCACAATTATTAGGGTTTTTCCAGTAGAAGAGGAAGGCATCAAATGTGTCGAAGTAGTCGTCAGTGCTCCGGTAGCCTTCGGGGTTGAATGCGCCGAACTTGAAGGAGTCCGTGGTATAGGCGACGACAACGCAAGGCCCCTTGAAGTCACAGCGGGCATGAAAGTTGGTTGCACTGAACCCATCTATGGTGGCCTTGTAGCAACACTTGAGCTCCCTGTCTGCTTAGGATATTAATCATCAGATCGTGTCATCAAACTCCCTATATCAAATTATTAAGAACAATGGACACTCGCTCAGGGTTTGATATAAGAAAACAGTCCTTTTTACTGATGAAACTAAAATAGCATTAAAGTTGTAGACTTTCATGAAGTAGCTAGCTAGGAACGGCCTTGATTTAGAGCTTAAATTGCTATTTAACTCAAGAAGACAAAAAAAAAAAAAAAAAAAACAAAATAAAACAAAATAAAAGAATACATATGCAATATTAAGGTATCCTCTTAATTGTTTGTGTTTTGGAAATTGTATATTTGATGTTATCGTTTTGAAAGTGTTCTTTTAGTTTTATTCGAATTTAAGTTAGGTGGCGTATCCTATGCTATTGAAAAAAAGCTGAGTATTTTTTTTTTTTTTTGGGTATTTTTCTTTTCAATCTACCTAATGTAAGTCAAATGATTTTAGTATGTGTACAAATAAAATAAATAAATATTATAATGTTTTAAATTTACTATTCATATTATGCAATTTAAGGTCTTTTCACCAAAAAGTAAAATAAATAAGTAAAATTGAAACTAGCTAGCACTTATTTTTCCATGAAAAAAATTAAATAAACAACTATTCAAAAAAGAAAAAAAATCTAGAGTACTAGTAAACATAGGCAAATGAAAACAATCTGATAAAAATAATTTCAATTTATCTCATAAGGTAAATTTGAAATCTTGTTAATCTCTCTCTCTCTCTCTCTCTCTCTCTCTCTATATATATATATATATATATAGGTGCAGGTACCTTTCAAGAATGTATTGGTGAGCAAAGAGTGAGGGAAGGGGAGAATGATTCCTTCATGATATTTAGCAGTGTCAATTTTACTTTTGCCAAATTGCCACTTGAATATGCTCTGTGTCTGTGGCTGTGCCCACCTTAATATAGAAGAAGATGAACACTTAAACGAACAAGTCGAGATGGAAGAAGTCATCATATAATTCATATTTAGAATAATTAATCTCTCTCTCTCTCTCTCTCTCTCTCTATATATATATATATATACATACATATGATATGAAGGGTTTTCTGTGGGTGGATGATATTCGTGTGCTTCTTTCTTGGCTTTTACGAGTAGTGGATAAGATGGTAAAGCTGTGCCAATATTTTAGGGCTTCCTCCTCTTTTAATTATTATTAAATATATTTTTTTGGGAATACTAGACTACTAGTATATAAATTATTCTATAATAAAATTTTAACAATCATATACTTCCTCTGTTAACATTTGTCCATTTTAATGTAGAAACAAAAATTTAGCATTAGTAAGTAATTAGAAAATATATTAGTAAAAATAATTATGATATAATACAAATAATTATAATTAAGATTAATATAATACAAATAATTATAATTAAGATTAACATGAATAAATAATTTAATTAATTAAAAAAATTATAAAATTTAAGATGTGATTAAAGTGTATAATTATATTTTCAATAAAGGACAAATTATATGGGACATATCACTACTAGAAAAAATTTGGATAACTGCTGAAATTTATTGCAGCGACAATTAAAAGTCACGATGAGTAATTTCGTGACAAATTTGTGTCATAACTTTTTGTTTTGACTTTTCCATATATAATATTGGCAGGAAAAATTATAAACAATTTTTCGTAACTATTTAAAGTAAGGGCATATGTAACGAAAATGTCCAAAATATTTTTATTTCGTGTTTTTTAACTATTTTGTCACAAAATTTGTCACGAAATTTTTTCATGACTATTTTAAGTTGCGGCAAAAATAACAAAAATACTTGCAACATTTTTAAATTATTACAAATCTTGTCATTATATAATTTTCGTGACTTTTTAAAGTCAAATTCACGACATAAGTAACGAAAACAATCATAACTTTATTATTATTATTATTATTACATTATTTTCGTTCCTAGCTATTTAATAACTGGTTGGTATATAAAGTCATAGACGTGTCATAGTATTATTTTATGACTTATTGTAATAACTTTGTTGGTATATAAAGTCACAGACGTGTCATAATATTATTCTGTGACTTATTGTAATAACTTTGTTCGTATATAAAGTCACGGACGTGTCATGGTATTATTATGCGACTTATTGTTACAGAAATATCACCAATTTTTTTTTAAAAAAAGTCACCAATGAAAATTCCACAGAAATTTATTTCGTATATTTTTTCCGTAACTTTTCATTAAAAATTCAATTATTTGTATTAAAATCGTGATTTTTTTACAGTAACTATAGTCCAATTTTCTGGTAGTGTACGAAAATAGAAAATATGAATATTTTATGTGGAACGGATGAAGTATTTTTTATTACTATTTTTTTTTCCGTGAAAATCCGCAGCCGTTACATGAAAATATGCACCGGGTAAACTTCCATGATCTCACGGTCACAAATCCATCCCACCCCACCAGATCGGAGGAGTATTTTTCATTATTCATTCGTATATGAAGCTAGAACTAACTATATAGTGCCGAACAAATTTATGGAACCAGTCCATATAGTTGGAAGCTATCTATAGTCCTATCATATATATATATATATATATATAAATATAAAAGAGCTCGGAACCGTTATGTGCTCCGGAAGGACGAAAATGCACGTGTGCGATTATATGTAATTGAATTTTGTGAGGAATCTAGCTAATGGATGTTATAGTATAATAATGTTTCGAAGAAACAAAAGAATAATATAATTTGGTGAAAATTAGATTAAAGTTGTCGGAAAGAAATCACAGTTTTATATAATTTGGTGACTTTTACTGAAACTCATGAAAAAGAACACGGAACTATTTTCATGTAATTTCACTGGTGACTCTTTCTAAATTATAGATATTTCTTTGTCATAGCCAACTCTCATTACAGAATAATACCATGATGCGTACGTGACTTTATAAAGAAACAGAAACTGTAACAAAATTCTGTGATTTTTTTGAAATAGTGACATTTTCGTGACAATAAGTTAAAAGAATAATATCATTAAACTTCTGTGACTTTATATCAACAGAAATTATAACAATTTCATGACTTTATATTTTTGGAAAAAAAATATGACTTTATAAAGCAACAGAAGCTATAACAAAATTCCGTAAATTTTTAAAAGTAGTGTCATTTCCGTGACAATAAGTTACAGAATAATATTATTACACTTTTATGACTTTGTATCAACGGAAATTGTAACAATTCCGTAAATTTATATTTAAAAAAAAAAACAAATATGATTATATTATAATTATTGCTCAATACAATTCTATACTACAAAAAAAATAATATATTTGTAACGAAATTCCGTCCCTAAAGTTCACGTAGCTAACGTAATTCTTTTCCTAATTCCGTCTCTAATGTCATTAGTAACGAAAAAAAGTAGATTTAGAGACAAAAAAATTTTGTTGCAAAAATGATTTTTTCTTGTAGTGAGCTACAAGTCAGAAGCTATTGGTAGAATTTGAACCAGTGACCTTATAGTTATTAAAGACTATAATCACGTCCAGTGGCGGAATCAGAACTCGAATATAGGGGGGCTATTTCTTTTATTGAAAATTCGATATACCGAAAAATCAGTATGATAAATATATATACATATATCATACCAAATTTTGGTATAGTATTGATATATACTATTTCATACCAAAATACTAAAATTTTAAATAATAATTTTGGTATCAATATATTGAGTTATTTGTATATACTGAATAATCGAGATTGTTTTAGTATATACTGAAAATATCAAATTATATATAGTTACCGTACTAAAAAATTTAAATATGATATTAGATCATATCGAAAATTTTGATATACTAAAATTTTTAGTACAAAAAAATATTTTTTATACCAAAATTTTAATATTTTTTAACTATATATAATTTAAAAATTATATGAATTATAATAAAACATAAGAGGTGGGGTGGGGGGAGGGGGCTCCCTCCTTGCCCCCACCTAGTTACGCCCTTGGTTACGTAAATTTAGCTATTTACTTTTAAGTATTTATTTTTGTTTATTTTTATATTTTAACTGGTTATAAATTTATTTATTAATATATACATACTTACTTAATATATCATCACTAATTTTTAATAAAAAATTGATCTTGTCCATTTAATATAAAAAATTATTAAATTTATTTTGCATATATTTTTTTAGTGGTGTATATAATTTCTTGAATTGTGTCAATTGTCCATCAGTTATTTTCAGGGTAAATTGTTTTTTTAGTTCCGTAACTGGACCCCCTTATCATTTTAGTCTAATAAGTGGAGTCTGTCGCAAACTAGTCCTATAAGTGAAAAATTTTCGCTGTTTTAGTCCTCCGGCGCCGGAGACGCCCGCGTGGCTCGCCGGAGGTGACGTGTCCGCCAGGTGTCCCGCCAGGTCAGCGACACCTGGCGGACACGTGGATTTATTTTTTTTTTAATTTTTTTTAATTTTTTAAAAATTAAATCAAATTAAAAAACTTAAAATATATAAATAAAATTAAAAATAAATTAAACATAAGTTTTAAAAAAAATTTAAAAAAATTAAAAAAAAATTAAAAAAATAAAAAATCCACGTGTCCGCCAGGTGTCGCTGACCTGGCGGACACGTCACCTCCGGCGAGCCACGCGGGCGTCTCCGGCGCCGGAGGACTAAAACAGCGAAAATTTTTCACTTATGGGACTAGTTTGCGACAGACTCCACTTACGGGACTAAAATGATAAGAGAGTCCAGTTACGGGACTAAAAAAAGAGTTTACCCGTTATTTTCATTTTATTTTTTAAACTCAATCATTTTTTAAAATATATCACATAAAATTTTCAAAGTTAAAAATACATTTATTAAATTTATCATCAATGATAACTATAAATAGTTAAATATTTGATTACATTAATATCTGCAATAAATTAAATTAATAGATCTTAATTAAATAGAATAAAATTATTTGTAATGTAACTATATTTTAAGGACTTTTATTTGGACTCACAAATGCCCCGAACACTTTTATGAGATTGACGAACTATATTTTAAGGAATTTCATTAATAAATATGTTGTGTATTTTGATGATATACTCATTTATAGTCAATATATTGATGCACACACAAAACATGTTAATGATGTACTTGATGTTCTTCAAAATGAGAAGTTGTTCGCTAATCACAAGAAGTGTGAATTTTGTGTCGACAAATGCAACTTCGTTGGTTTTATTGTAGGAAAATATGGGATTAGTGTGGATGAAAGCAAAGTGACGGCAATTCAAGAATTGGCCTACTACACCGACGAGCGTGAAGGATATTCGGAGCTTCCATGACCTTGCAAGCTTTTACCGACGATTTGTGCGAAACTTCAGTACCATTTCTGCCTCAACTACTCCACATACGACAAGGAACTCTATTCCTGGGTTTATGCTCTCTAAACATGGCTACATTATTTGTGCCCACATGAATTTGTTGTCCATATCGACCACGAGTCTTTGAAGCACGTCAAATCCTAAAAAAAGTTGAGTCCAAGATATATCTTATGGATCTCTTTTATCGATACCTTCCTGTACATTTTCAGGTACAAGAAAGGTAAAGATAATACGGTAGCCGATGCACTCTCCCGAAGGTACACTCCTGTTGCTACCATTGAATCTAAATTATTAGGATTGTCCTACTTGAAAGATTTATATGCAAATTATTTGGATTTTTCTGAAATATTTGCTAGGTGTCTTAAGCATGCTTACGATAAGTAAAATTTGCATGATGGGTAACTAATGTGTGAAAATCAGTTGTGCATTCCAACATGTTCACAAAGGCATTTATTGATTTATGAAACACATTCGGGAGGATTAATGGGTCATTTTTGGGATTTCAAAGACTTTGAACTTGTTAAAAAAAAAAAAAATTGGCCAAAAATGAAAGTTGATGTAGAGAAGGCTATTCGAAAATGCACCATTTGTTTATCTTCCAAGACAACTTCTCAACCTTATGGTTTATATACACCCCTCCTAATTCCTGAATCCTCTTGGGTAGATATTTCTATGGATTTCATCTT